GTAGGACACAGGAATTGTGAGGCCCAGTGTGGGGGAGATGTCAAAATGAAATCTAGAAAGAACTTTGAGGCCGTCTCTTGGCACCTGCCTTCTTCTAGATGTTAGCCCTACTTCAAGGCCCAGTTTTGTAGCTTCCCCAGCCTGGTTCAGGTTCTCTAGAAAACCAAAAGGCACACAACTCAGCGGGAGCTCAAGTCTAACACAAGGGCTGAATTTGATGGAAATGTAATTTGTGGCCTTATTGACTAGCCTAGCTGCCCATTCTCACTACCACTGGAATGCTGGAGGCATTTCATTTGCACCTCATCTTCCAGAGCCTATGAACTCACCAAGAACACTCACCAAGAACAGAATGGCTTAGTATAGAAAAATCTCAAGCCACCATTTGAATTTAGCTTGGCCATTCAATGGGCTACAGCCACCAGACTTGACTGAACCATCACTGTTAAATCCAATGGGTCTGCCCAGCCATCACCCCTGGTTGCCATGTAAGACACAGTCCCTTAATTTACACTCTTCCAAGCCTACCAGTCAACCTGTGCACAGCACACAGCTTAAAGCTATGCATAGTTTACCAGCAAGTTCTCAAAGCAGTCTCTAGGAGAGCTGTGTCTTCCTATATACTAAACCCCGACACCATGACCAAGGCAGCCCAAGAACAAAGAGTTTATTGAGCATATGGTTCCAGAGGGTTAGAGTCCATGATGGCAGAGCAAAGACACATTGGCAGACGCAACAAGCTGAGGGATCAGGTCTCGAACTGCAAGCTGGGAGCAGAGAGAGGACACTAGAGAGGCTTCTAAACCCCAAAGCCCACCCCCCAGTGACACAGTTCTCCCCAAAAAGTCACACTCGGCTCCTAAACTTCCTCAAGCAGCGCCACCTGATGGGGATGTCTTCTGTACATATGTTTCTCTTCTTGGTTGATGAATAAAGCACTGTGGCCAATGAGGCAGGAAGATAGGTGGGACTAGGAGACAAGGAGGATTCTGGGAAGTGCAGACAGAGAGGAGTCATCATGTGAGCCCAGGGAAGAGAAGATGTGAGGAAGGCATCTCTCCAGTAAGATAAGGCCATGTGAAAATAGTAGATTAATAGAGATGGGTTAATAATTAAGACAGAGCTAGCCAATAGGAAGCCCAAGACAACGGCCAACAGCTTTATAACTAATACAGCATTCGTGGGCTTCTTTGGGGCTCCAGGAGGCTGGGACCCAGGCTGGCAGGAAAGAATACTCATAACTGCCACCAACCTGAGACCGAGCATCCAAATGTCTGGGTTTAAAGGGATCATTCTCATTAAATCCCCACATGGAGGCTCACCTAGGGGCAGAAGAACCAGACTTTTTCAGGAAAAACAACATGCAAGCAAGACTAAAAGCTGACCATGGACCATAGCTGCCCTTCAGCTCCCAGTCCTACCCAAATCTCACCATTCAAAAGCACTGGACCCTGATGGATAGCAGCTCCAAGCCCTCTTCTGAGCGTCCACCCAGAACAGGATTACTTAGTGCTAATTACTGCAGGAGCCGGCAATAAGTCCCTGTTTCTAGACCCAGTCACCCATGAGAATCTGTTCTGCTGGTGACCCCACACCCAACATCTACTTCAATTAGGAGGATAACAGCCATTCTTTAAAACCATGACTATTGGCCAGTAAAGGGCAAGTCAGGATTTTTAAAAAAAATTTATTTATGTATGTGTGCGCACTGTATCTGCACATATACCTGCATGCCAGAAGAGGGCATCAAATCCCATTATAGATGGCTATGAGCCACCTTGTGGTTGCTGGGAATTGAACTTGGGTCCTCTGGAAGAGCAGCCAGTGGTCTTAACCACTGAGTCATCTCTCCAGCCTGACAAGTTAGTTTTTAAAAGTTAAATTTGGGGTCTGTGGTGATCTGGATGAAAATGGCCCCCACAGACGCACTGGAGGTGTGGCTCTGTTGGAGGAAGTGTGCCACTGGGAGTAGGCTTTGAGGTTTCAGAAGGTCAAGTCAGGCCTGGAGGCTCACTGTCTCTTCCTGATGCCTGTGGATCCAGATGCAGAATTCTCAGCTGCCCCTCCAGCACCACATCTGCCTGTGTGCCAACATCCTTCCCACCATGACAGTAATGGACTGAACCTCTGAACAGTAAGCCAGCCCCAATTAAATGTTTTCCTCTATAAGAGTTGCCATGGTCATGGTGTCTCCTCACAGCAATAAAACCTTACTAAGACATGGTCTATGATATGATTCTTCATAGAGTTCTTTTTATTAGTAAATCAATGTCATGTAGTAAGACTATCATTTAAAGATTAAAGATTATCATGATATTTAAAAGAGGTGCCAACTTGTTCCTGTGACTACTTGACATTGGCCTTCCCCTTAGTGTATCTCTGAACTGTAGAGGAAGTTCCTTCTCTCCCCTCCAGCCACCCAGACCCTCAAAACCATGACAGTCCATTTCTTTGGCCATAAATAAAATTCATGGCATTCTTCAATGCCGCTTTGTGTTCCAAAGAGAAACCTTGGCTTTGACATTCTTCAGTGAGTGCTTGCTGTAGAAAACAGTGGCATTGAGGATCCATCACCCTTTCTCATTTACCGACCAAGCAGGCCTCCAATTGTGGCTCTCGAAGAGCCACCATATAAAGGAGCCCCACAGAGCCTTCACGGCTAGACCTGGCTCTTTTAGGTTCCTGACCTTTTGGCTCTGAGTTCATAGAAGGAGCAGTAACATGATTCCTTTCCTACACAGTCACCTCAGTCAGAGATGGTCCTGTAGAGATCAGTGTGACCCTTAGCTGGCTCAGACACAGCGGACAGTCACACCAGATCAAGGCCTCACTGGAGGACCAATCCCAGAGGCTAGACGAGGTACCAGCTTTGACTGCCAACATGTACTGCCTGTGGACGATAAAACCTCCTACTCATTTCCCAGAGGCAGATCTCTTGCCTAACATGCATGAGACTCTAAGTTCAAACCCTAGTACTGGCCCCAAATACATACCCACCCGACCCTCCCCCCAAAAAAGACTATTACTTCTCTGAAACAATTTTCTCAGTGGTAGAAAGAGAAAACTAAAGTAAATGAGTCTTATTGTCATTATTATTTTTAAGACAAAACTCAAGAAACTTCCAAGCATCTGATTGTGACAGAAAGCACATACTGAACGTGAGCCTAAATGACAAGTACCATGGACAATAAGGACACATGGGACCTGATACATTTCTCTTTCGCCTTGGATTAACTTCTAAAGGAGTCGGACACGGTGGCTCATGCCTGGAATGTCAAGGCTTAAGAGGTGGAAACAGGACCGCCACAAGTTTCAGGCTCGGGGGAGCTGAGCTTCCAAATGAGGTCCCATCTCAAGAACAAAAACACTACAGCTAAGTTCTAGTGTGGGGGGAAGCAAGTTGAACCCGACTCTGGGCTTCTGCTGCCACACTGGACTCTGCATTTGTACACACACATGAACTCACACCCGCCTGTCTGGAATTACACAACACGCATTTGAAAGAAAAGCGAGGCTTAGCCAGCCATACCCTAGGCTTGCTTGGGAAAGCAATGAGTCTTACAAAGTGGGGCTCTCTGAGGACGTTTCACAGAGAAAGCAACTCTGGCGTCCCTGAAGGAGAAGCCACAGAATGGAGGGACAGTTTTCAGGTGTTTCTCATTTCTGAAGAGATCGGCGGGTGGGGAAACTCCCCTTAGGCCAGCGTTGCTCAATGTGGACTAGGTGTGTGGTGGGGGTTGGGGGCATGAGGTTAGGGACCAAATAAGTTGAGCAATAGTGGATAAAACTGAGGTAATCTCTTTTCACACTGCAGGACTCTTGGGGAACTCTAATAAACAAATGTGTACTGAGACTGTGGAACAGAAGCAAAGGCCTCAGAGGCCTCTGTTCTTAAAGTTCCTCCAACAAGCAGGGTTCTCAGGACCAGCCCAGGGAACTGTACCAAAGAGACCATAAAGTTTCTGAGGGCAGGCATGGGGTCTTGTTCACCAGGACCTAGCATACGGAAAACACTCAATATAGACAGAATAAACGGTTTCTGAGTGACAAGATGATGAATTCTCTTAATTCTAAGCAGGGAGAATGACACCGAGAACAAAATGGTGACAAGTATGCCAGACAGCCAGACATCTCACATGTGTGCAAGAGCATGTGCATGTGCGCGCGTGCATATACACGAGCACACACACATGCACACACAGCTCCAGCACCCATGTTGCTCATTCTGAATGCAACCAGTCACTACCTAAGCTCCAGGCAGGAAGAGGTAGGGATCTAGATCCATACTGTCTTTGCCTTCTAAAGACAACCACTACAAATCCATAATGCATCCTAGAAGACCTTCTCCCACACATGCCCCCAAAATGGAAAATAAAATAAGAATTTTATGAAGAAAATGTGCCTTTCCTCCCTAAGAATAATAGCAAATCAGAAGAGGGGGCCTCCATGATGTCCGTACAGATCTCCGGCCCTTTACTGCCACCTGCTGGAGGTCAGGCACCTAGGTGGTAAATTTTAAAATGCTTGCATTTTCTCCGTGGAATTCCAAACATGTATAGATTGGCATCTCTTATGACATCACACAAGTTAGAAGGACTAGGGTAGCATTTGCTCCTTTTCTTTTGAGCTGAAATCAACCCAGAAGTGATTTGACTGTTGATAAAAAGTTAGGAGCCAGAGCTGAGTACACACCATACCTGTTGTATTTTTTTTTCCCAAGGAATCAACACTGGGGCTAGCCATTTGGTTTTGTGAAGCTACATTTTTGCAAGATGCACTATTGCTCTTCTTGTCCCTGCACAAGGGCACTCTAGACGGAAAAGTCCCATGCCCCTCCAAGAAGACTATGTCCAAACGCATCCCTATCTCCACAAGGATAAAATTCACTCTGCCATATAAAGAAGCATGCCAATGGCCAAAAATTGGTACCAGACAAAATCAAGATGCTATGTGTTATGCTCCACAATCCTACCCAAGACAGGCCCCTTCTGTAAGCATACCTTGGTCTGGAAGCAGCAATAGAGTTGGGTTAGATAGGGGTGTTTCCGTGCCAGAGCCAAAATCCTCTTCTCCGTCATCGTGCAGTCCACGTCATCATCCTGGAGGATGGCGTCCTTCTTTAAGACTTTCACAGCATAGACTTCATCCTTGCCCTTGAGTTCCGCCAGCATGACCTGCAGCAGATCCGAATCATCTGGTCAGCCTATGCGTGGAATCAAATGATGCCAAATATCTAAACGCCGATGGCCTGTTCCCTTTCATTTTTGAGTGAAGATGTTTGGGAAATCAGCGTTCTAAATGTTTAGGGAATCCACCCCACCTAATTCAGCTACTAAACTTTTTTCTTCTTTTAATCTCCGGCGCAGTGCTCAGGTAAGAGACGTTCAATGTACAGGGGTTAAGTAACTATTCATATCTTCATCTGCACTAGTGATACTGTAATTATCAGAGAACAAATACGTCTCTTTCTCCCCTTCACCCCTCTCCTCTCACTCCCAGCCCCACCACACACACTTTCTCCCTTTCTTTTGACAGTCCCCACTAGGTAGCTCGGGTTGGCCTTGGACTCATGACACTTCTGCTTCAGCCGCCCAAGTGAAGATAGTATAGGTGTGCCCCACCACGCTACACACAAATGCAGGGCTTTCAGAAGCAGCAGCATTTTATGCTTTTCCTACAAGGTCACCATGGTTACCATGACTGTTGATATTCAGAGTACAAACACTATAATTATTTCTGCTATCTCCCTCCTTTTGGGAATTTAAGCTACGCCAAATTAAATTCTATATAAATTGCGCTGAGAGCTTTTGGACACAATTTAAAATTTTCCTTGGCCTTCCATCCTTGAGATAGAAATTCTTGGACCTAAAAGGTTAAATATTTAACACATTTCCTGATTTTTAAGGGGGCTATATGCACAGTAAGCCACTTTAGTGTGTGCTATAGATTTAGTATACTCACACACACAGTAGGCCACTTTAGTGTTTACCATAGATTTAGTATACTCACACACACAGTAGGTCACTTTAGTGTGTACCATAGATTTAGTATACTCACACACACAGTAGGCCACTTTAGTGTGTACCATACATTTAGTATACTCACACACACAGTGGGCCACTTTAGTGTATACCATAGATTTAGTATACTCACACACCCAGTAGGACACTTTAGTGTGTACCATAGATTTAGTATGAGCCCAGGTCACTTATACTAGCAACTTTTTTGTTTGCCTGTTTGCTTTCTCTGACTTAGCAAGTGGGAGATAACATCTTGATTCTGTTTTCAACTTGCAGTCAAACTTTCTGGAGTATTTATTTTCTAATTGAGTCACTTTGGGGGAGAATTCCTTTTCTTCCTGCTAGTTGCTGGCTTGTGTTATCTCCCCTAAGCCGGTACACATAGGATCATGAAGTCAGACCTCTTGCTTTCTAGACAGCGTTCCATGCCTCCTCCATGACAGTCTGTCACTTTTCTTCCTGAATATTTGTGTACTTAAACCTGCCCTGTGTTTGCTATTAGTGTCTTTCCACAGCTCTGCAGGTGAAAACACAATTCCTTCCCCTGACTGCTGATGGGTAGGTCTACTTTCTTGACATTTGCCCATCAAAGGGTATTTTCATTCATCTCCCACAGTCCCAGGTCTTTCTCCTTTTGGATGACTCTGAAGTAAACTACTGTAATGTCGTTGTCAAAGGGAAAAGAACATACCCCAAGGAACTTGCCACCCCATACAACACAGCCTGTAAAACTGACTTAAACCTTATTGAGACAGCTTCAAGTTTGCCTAAGAATCTAGTTAAGTCCTCAGAACTCTGATGCTGCCTGTATCACCTGCAAGCCTTGAAACTCTGACCATGCTCCCTTCCCTAGACTCTTATTCAAACTCAAACCCAGCCCTGCTCTCAGAGTAAGCCAGGGGTCCTGGGTCTGCTTCTGATTTAGCAGAAGTTTTAAAAGAGTTTTAAAAGAATGTGATTGCTTCAGCAGTTGCCATCTGAGTAAATTCCAGGCCCCCCTGCCAGCTGATCTCAGGACAGATAGGGACAGGTGAGTGTCTGCATAGCAGGCCCTGTGCCTGGGGGCTTCGCAGAGCCTTCCCTCAGAGCTGCTCTGGAATGGTGGAAGAGGCCTTCAGCTCTGCCTGGGATGACTTTAGGATCACTGCTTCCCAGAGCCCAGGACACATGATAGCACACGACTCCTAGCGCTGTCTGGTCCCCAAGCAAGGTCTCTGCTTCACAAGGTCCCCCCAAAAGGTCCCCAAACTCCAATTAAGCCCCAGGTACAGCTTGAAGAAGGGGGCAGTCAGAAATGTGCCCCAGTTTCCTGGGTTCTTTGTCTTTCTAGAGTCACATCTTTGCATCTCACCAAGCCCATCACTGGGGATACTGGAAGGCACAACCCCCACAGGGTGTCTGAGGCAGTGGAGAGCAGGGAAAATGTCCTCAGGGACAGGGGCCCTGGATCCATCACAGGATTCTCCAGTTCATTTGTCACATGGAGAGGAGGAGCAGAACGGTTAGTAAGCTCCAGGAAAATCAGCCAAAGGACACTCAGCTCCCGAAGTCCTACATGGTAAGGTTTGCTCTGACACTGAAGGTCACTGAGGACAGTGGCTGAGGGTTCATGCCCAAGGATTTCCTACCGAGAGAGCAGAATTCCAGGTGGCTCTCTGCACAGGAGGGGCCTCACAGTGGGAAGAGGCACACGTGCCAAGCACAGAAGCCCCTCGGCGTGCCCCTCCCTGCCTCCACTTTGCCCATTTGACACATGAGAACAACTGAATGCTACAGAGAAGAAAGTGCCCGTATTCCCACAACCAACCAAAGAGCAGGACTGGGGTCCCAATCAGCCAGGCATTAGCCCATTTCCACTCCAAAAGGAGGGAAAAGGTGACAAGAATAGGCCAGACTGCCCACAACAAGGCAGCACCATGACACACGGGTGCCACTGACCTTGCCAAAGCTGCCTTTGCCTAACACCTTGATGAAGTTGAACTCATCCAGGCCCAAGCGCTTGGCCTGGCCTTGCCGTACTTCACCGTTCTCGCCTGGGCTTGCCAGCTGGCCATCGGCAGATGAGGATGCCCTGTGCTCCTCTCCTCGGTTGTCAAACGACAAGGCCTTCCGGATGTTGTTTTCAAGTTCTTTTAGTTCTAGGGACAAGGAGGGGAAGACGCTAGGTTAGCACACCCCTCACGAGCCCTTTATGTCAAGACTCAATATGGAGAACCCATGAGCTCTCAGCCCCCTCCAGTTGTTCATAGGGGCAGATCCAGGGACACCTTCCTGTAGGCCCCTTCATCTGTCCAACACATTTCCTTTGGTGCCCAATGTATAAGAAGGCACGAGTCTGGAGAGAGGAGGGAGGGGGACAAAGTTCCTGAACTGGCAGGGTCCACTGCCACCCAAGGTCTCTGAAGGCATCCTAGCAACCTTGACTGTGACTGGAAGTGTGGGTGAGAATTTATGGGTTCCCTGGAACTCTGCAGACTCAGAGGCGACAGGCTCCCTTCCCTTCAAGTTTCCTTTGAAGATTAGAACAAACACGCAGAAGCCAGGCTCACAATCATCACTGGTGACAGAATCATTCACTCGCAGGGACTAGGAAGCCTTTGTCTTCGAAAGGTCTTTACTCGGCCTTGATGCTGGCTTTACTCGGAGTACTTGTCCCACACAGAGCTACCTCAAAGGATGAACCACAGACTTATCATTAACAAAAGAAGAGCTCCCCACAATGACATGTCACCAATTTATCTCTGATGGGGCAGGAATTCTACAGTCCAGTTTCACAACTATGAGATGGTCTTGCAGCTTTCTGGAGTATGTGACCCAAATTACTTAGGGATGAGAGTGCCGGGGAGGCCCTTTGATCTTTTCTGTTTGAAGAGGGTCTATTACAGCTAGACACACATCCACCAAAATGAGTATCCATCTGTGTAGAATGGGTATCTAGACATGATCCTACTGTAAAAGATTCTCATGAGTAACAGGGGTCACAGACAGGAGTAGAGAGTGTTTGCCCCTTGGAATGAAGACAGATGAGTGAGCAGCACCTCTGGGTAGCAAGGCCTTTGCCTCCTGTCCAGAAGGTCTTTAGTCACAAGGGTCATGCAGAGGATCTGGAGTGAACTCATATTGGGGTGGAAGGACACCATCCTAGTCTACAGATATTCCCGTGGTGACAGATTCAGCAGCTGCCTAGCTACTTACGTCACTCACTCCAAAGTATGACTTTTTGTCTCATCAGGCCTCAGTTGCTAAAAGCATCTTGGAAGATAGAACACAGATGACCTAAAACCCTAAAGTTTGAGGAAGATGTCCTATAATGGAAGAGAGACAGAGCCTGAACCATCTCCAGTTTGTGGTAGTTATATATAAGTACCACATACGCATATGAAAAGAGTTTCCCATCCATTAGTTCTCATATCAGGTAAGGAAACATGGTACCTGCCTGGCCTGGTAAGTCTCTCTGAATAAAGGCCCCGGGAGGCCCAGGCAGACAGCACGAGTCGAGAGACGGGCCTGGAAACCACGGGTGAATGTGAACCGTGGGTGGTTCACTCTACTGTGGTCCTCCATATCTTTGAAGTTCCAGGATATTTTGACATGAAAAGGGGGAACCTGCAAAATCTCCACTGGCCCAGGATGGAATCTGTAAGCTGGTTACTTAGGAATGGGTGAAATCTCTCTTGGAATGAAATAAAGACATAGGAAGTAAGCCAGGGTCACAGGAAGATGAGCTGAGGGCAATTATTTTAGTCTCAAGACTGGAAGATGACATCAACACTGTTCTGCCCACTCCTAAATAAGAAGGGACATGCCACAGTAATAACCTCCAGTGAGGATTTCATAGCACAGGAGAGGCAGTGGCCTGGCCTGGCCTGGCTACCATCTTAGCTCTTGGCCTCAGGACAAGCATGTTTAACCCTGAGTTTCCACTTCCCAGCCAGTTACCTGGACTGAGCACCAGGATAGAGTCGATGCAGGTGAGACAGTAGAAACAAGGATCACGTGAAGGGCTATAGAACACCGAAGAACCACCATGCTGCGAGGCTAGTTCTGTTTCCCAGGTACATATGGCTCTTTCCAGGGATGTCTGGGACCCATCTGTCACCAGCAGGGAGGCCTCAGACAGAAACCCATGCATAGTGCCAGCATCTTAGGTTCTGTAAAGTTATTCCTATGCGTATTATGCATGAAGAGCCTGCTGTCTGAAGCTTATCCAGTCAGAAGGAAAGACACCCAATGTGTAGCCAGAGGAAAGTCAGGCCCAATGCTGACTCCCCCCTGCTTCTCAAATTTCATCCTTCTATCCCCATCTGCTCATCCAAAGAACGGGAGAGGAGACCTTCCCCTTAACTCAGCCAGATCTGAAGTCTTGGGGTACCCTGGTTAGAGTTAAGGGGAGGGCTGTGAAGCAAGCAGACTCACCTAGGTCCAGAGAGAAGGCCAGAGTGATGGACAAAGGAACAAGACTTCCTTCCTGTCTACACATGAAACCCGGAAGAGAAATGAGGGAATAACAAACCATAGCATCACACACGCCTCTAACCCTAGGCTGGAGGGAACTTCCGGCTAGCTCCCTCAAGAGAGCCTCCTAGCACGCAAGGACGACCACCATGCCAACAAGGAAGCGGTGTGCGCCGACCCGTAAGTCTGCGGGCTTCGCTGATTAACAGGTGGTGAGGTAAGAGGTTAGGGGCAAACCCCAGAGTCTCACCCTGGTCACAAGGGGAGGTGGGCGCTGACTTGGATCGATCATCTGCAGTTGGAGAGTTTCCAGAAGCCGGCTGTGGCGACTCAGCACCAGCAACAAGCTAGAGAGGACAGAAGATGGGAGAGTCATCAGAAAGGAAGCCGGTGACGTCAGACCATACAGAGATCTGTAACGAGGGGCACAGCAGCATTCACCAAACGGAGAACGGGTGTGCAGGGTTTCGTGGGCCAATTCAACAGAAAACAAAACATGCAAGATTTCCACTGCCTTAATATTTATTCTCTCCAAAGTCAGGTGACCTTTTAAGGCAAAGCCCTGCTCTAGTCTTTCAGTAACAACACCCCTCCCCCTCCCCCCACACTCCTCTCCCCATCGCTACCCTCACAACTGTCCATACAAGGCAGGTTCTCTCACCAACACAGTGGGATACTGACCGGCTCTATCACCTGTTTGGTGTTTATTGGCAATCTTAACCACTTTTATGTCAATAACTGCATTTGCCAGTGCATATCGTGTATGTAGGGTTCTCTACTCAGACTTCCGGTACTCTTACTGCCCCTAGTGGCCGCCTCGAAGTACTACACATGACAGATGCTAAGTGTAAATATTCTCAGGTGTAGTCAAGTCTGTTGGCACATTTTAATAGAAGATCCCCAGTGACATTTGTTTCCTGGAATGGGGGCTGGCATGTCCAGCTTAAGTGCCGGCGTGAACATGGAGATCACATGGGTCTCTGACCCCTCTTCTCTTGGTCTTCCCAAGGATCTTTTCTACCAAAGCCTCTGAGATGCCTGCAGACTGAGAACACAACTCCCTTCTCTGCCACACAACTTAAACTACCACTTGGCTTTCTCCAGCTTTGCATCAGGACTGTCACTGCAGTGACTATAGCTGGATGACAGTCCTTGGGCCTGTTCTCCACCTGTCCCTACATTTTTTCCATTCCTTTTCATCGGGAGTCCACAAACTCAAGTCTGTAAATGCAAGGCAGTAGACAGCACCTGTCACTGGAACCACAGTCTGTGTAAATGCATGGAAGAGAGAGGGCATAGTGTTTCCCTTTAAACCTCTCCTGGCAGTGAACGACAGTCATACTCCCAGCAGGGGAAAGCCGGTCTCGCGCCGTGTCTCTCTGGTGTTCATCGGAGGGGCACTGGCACTTGCCCAGCCTGCTTCTTCAGGACACTTATTGGCTAGTGTCACTTTGCTTTGCAACTCCAGTGCCTTGGGGCACCAAACAAAGGGTTTGTGTTGTTCTTTGTCTCCCCAACCTGCAGAACCTAGAGAAGCTACCCCATATATAAGGCCTCACAGTTTACAGGGAGAGGATGGATTCTGAAAGGCCTGCAAAACAGCTTTGCTCATTGGGAAGACAGGAGAGACGGTCATCCGGTCCTTCTCACCAATGGCAAAAGACTTTTCTGGGGGCACCAGGGAAAAGACACTGGTAGGTTTAACAAGAAGTGCAAGAAGCGTAGGCTCCTTGGAGGGTACTTCAGGCCAAGTGCAGAGAGAACACTGAGGGATGAAGGCTGTGAGGCACCTACAGGCAGACTTGCTCTTCTAGAAAAGCGCTTGGGTAAGTTTGGCCCCTGGTGGGTGGGGCCACACCCTAACCACTCACATCAGCATCGATTGTCTGGATAACACAGCTCTGCTTCTCTCATAACCTATTTTCCAAAGGCCTCTTGAGTTTTCTAGATTGGGTGTCATTGCTGAAGCAGAGCCCACTGGAGATGCCTTTAGCTCTGTTTACATCTCTAGGCTCTGACTGGTCAAAACAATACATTAGAAAATCCAGTGGTCCCTAATGACACTTGGAAGGCCATATGGATATATAGGGTTTTGGTCTCTTAAGAAGGCCATGTGTCCTTAAGTATTTCCCAGTCAACTTAGTTCGAGAGCTGGCACAGACCATGGCTTGCTGTCTGAAAAAACTGGTCTGTGTGGGGGGGGGGGGTGTCAAGTGACCCTTTCACAGGGGTCGCCTAAGACAATCAGAAAACACAGATATTTACATTACGATTCACAACAACAGCCAAATTACAGTAATGAAGCAGGAATGAAAGTAATTACATGCTTAGGGGCCCCCACAACATGGAGAATGTATTAGAGGGTGGCAGCATTGGGAAAGCTGGGAACCGCTGGTCTAGGGGGCCATGCTTTTTCTAGAAGGGACTTCAAGGTCCCTGCCTTCTTGGTGAACTTCTTATTCTGCTGTGTTACTGAGAGTTGAACCCAGGGTTTCACTGAAATGTAGGAAACCAAATTACCACCAAGCTTTCCCTAACCCACACATAACTCTGAAGGTTTGCTCTACCACCCCCTAGTTGTGAGAGATAATGAGACTTCCATGTTACCTGGCCTCTTTATATCTCTCTACACACACGATATTCTGATTATTTGAGCAAGAAGTCTAAACCTAGGAATCTCACACCCCCATTCTGGAGTACTCTCAGAAGCAGGTCCAGAGAAAGCTCCCCAAACAGTGGCCCCTACCTTTTTCCTCCTCTGGCCGCTGTTGGTGATTTTGTCTGGGGTGACGCCGAGGTCAGCCAGCACTTTGGCGATTCCTCTGGCGTCCACCCCACAGTTGGGAGCCACGTTGGTCTCACATCGACGGTGAACATTCATTTTGCAGACTGTAAGGAAACAGTAAGGACAGACATCCAATACTTGTGCCTAAAACGTGACCCTCACCCAATGACAGAAGTCTTGCATGTTTATCTGACAGAGGTTGGAAATGAAGAAAAATAAAAATGGACAAGTAAAAACCATCACCCATCCCAATGAAGAGAACTACAGTCATCTGTCAGCCACCTTGCAGAGAATGTATGGAAGATGTTTAGTTGCACCCCCCCACACACAGATATATAGACACACACACATACACACACACACACACACACACACATGCACGCGTGCACGCACACGCTTTTCCTGTGCACATGAAATAAGAACAAGCAGAGGTCACATTTACATTTCCTTTAGGGTGTAGGACACTGCCTCTGTAAGAACCAATTTGTTTTCACTGGACTATGCTTGATTCTAGGCCCAAATGGATGCCACAAATATGGTCTCTACACCACTCTGTTGTGGGTCACATGATCCAGGGAGCTCCCTGGTAGTCATAGGAGCCGCTCAGCCAACTTTCAACGGGGCCAGAAGAAAACAAAGAACCCCAAAACAGGCCAGAGCATTTCTGCTGATCTTACCCAGACTTGTTTGAGTTTTATTGCTGTGTTTTATCAGATTCTAACTAACTCTGGGGAAACTTGAAGTCCAGACCACTCCAGCCATCCTATTTTACCTGAGGTCAGAGGAGTTAGGAGCACTGTGGGGTTTACACTCCATAGGTACAAGCTATCTATAAGACACTATGTCATGGAGCACTTACTGCCCCTCCTCTGACCTAAGATACAACATCTGGTTACCAAGAAGACAAATTACAGAACATAATGAAACATGTAAAATACTTTGAAGAGATGGAGCAACAGATCTAGACTCTGACATGACAAGGATGTTGGAATTATCAAACCAGAAACTATGGCTAATAAGCCAGTTCAACGAAACATGTCTGCTAAAGGTTTCCACTACAGTGGCCCAAGCCTCTGGGGAGATGTTTAAAATCCAAACTATCACACAGGGTATGACAGCACTTATTTTACTCAGTGATGTCCCCAAACTGCAAAGAAATGATACTGGCACTTGACAGCTGACTGTTACAAGGGTTCTGTCCTATTACTAGTTATTGTTATTAGCCTTTATTGTGCCTAGTTTATAAACTCTGTTATAGGTATACTATAGGAAGAAACAGAGCATATATAGAGTCTGGTACTATTTGCAGTTCTCAGTATCCATAGGGGCTCTTGGTCATATCTCTTGCCATTTCCATGAGGGTTCTGGAATGAATCTGCTTCCTGTACCACACTACATCAACTTCAGATACAGACATTTTTAGAACAAGGAAAGCCAATGTAGTAAAAGAGGGACAGTGCACAGTAATTAAACAAGTCATCTCACCAGCTAGACAGAATCCCTAATATGTGTGCACCTAGCAAGAGAATATCAAGATCTAGCCAGTAAATGAAATAAAAAATTGATGACCCTGCTATTAGAGCTGGAGACTTCGATGCTCAGCTACCAGAGGAACAGACATGAAGACAGAGAATCACCAAGGACATAACTGAATGCTGCAAAGATCACCTGGATATTGTTGATTCTATTGATTATGTCACCCCAACAAAAAGACACACACTGGTCAAGCACACATGAAGCGTTCAGTTTACCCACCATATGCTGGGCCATAGAATGCCTTAAAACTAACTGTTTTGAAAGACGTGACTCTACATTCTGGCCTGTCATAGACCGGTAGATGAGGTACACGTGAATGCAACTGGGTGCAGGAGCTCAAGCATGGGCAGGCGATAGCTATTCAAGAGGAGTAATGGCTGCAGAGACATCCATCCCTGTACTACACCTCTGGGGCTGCAAGCATGCTGTATGCTAGGCCAGTGATGTCAGGAATGGTCCAGTGCTACCAAATGGACAGCAGGCTTTAGAACCAAGGCTAGACCGTGCCTACAATGGGTCTGAGGCTAGAGTTGAAGTGGTGGCAGGAGTTCCAGACTATTGGAGCCATGGAAGTAGGGACAATCGCCCAGCTACCTAGCCTGTTCCCACTAGAACACCTGTCTCCTCATTGCCATGTCAAGAACCCAAAACAGCTGCACTACAAAAATCAGGGCTTCTTCCTGGGAATTCTCCACAATAGTTGGATGGATGAGGTCCAGGAGAAGGGCAATCATCACAGCAAACTACAGCTTTAAGAATGGGAAAGCAGGGGTGCTGGAGAGATGGTTCAGAGGTTAAGAGCACTGACTGTTCTTCTACAAGACCTGAGTTCCATTTCCAGCAACTACATGGTGGCTCATAACCATTTATAATGTGATCTGGTGCCCTCTTCTGACATGCAGGCATGCATGCAAGCAGAATACTGTATAAGTAATAAATAAATAAATCTAAAAAAAAAAAAGAAAAAAGAATGGCAAAACAGGCCAAAGAGATGGTTCAGCCATTAAAAGCTAGACTCACAACCAAAATGTCAATCAGAGAGGAACTGTGTCATCGGAGAGTACACACAAACTGTTACCCTGCTGTGAGGGAAAGTGAGAGGATCTCTAACTTCTACACAGAAGTTGAAATTCTAAGGGAGTAAAAACATCAAGGAAACACAGTGCAACAAAACAGGAGGCGATCCTCTTCAGAGCATCTGCTCTAAGTAACGGGAGTTCACGTTGTAGGACGGCCAAGCTACACCTTTAAATTTTATTCCAACAATGTTGACAGTGCTTGCACACTGTCTGATTTTAGATTTTGGAACTAGGCATCAGTCACAGAAAGACAACTGGAGAATCATGAGTAACACACTGCCAACTAATCAGGAAGACCCCCCAAGAGAAAACTGATTAAAGCGGAAAGTACAGCTTCTCAAAGTGAATGAGACTCGGCCAAAGCAGTGCTTACAGGGAAATTAATAGCAGCAGTGTGTATATGTTAGGAGAGAGAGACCTTAAACCAGTCATATAGGCTTTTAAGAAACTACAAAAAAGGTCATGTAAAATTCAGAATAAGGAGAAGATAAAACTAAATCAATTGAATTGAAAATGCAAAGTCAACTCAGAAAAAAAGCTGCATCTTTTAGCAAATCACTGAGCCTCTTGGCAGGGAGAGGGAACAGAGAAAGAGGAAAAACAATTGTTGTCCTTGGGCCTCCTGCGGCACAGGCAAGTGCTCTGTCACAAGGTGCAAACTGATTCACTGGTTAAGGCTACAAAACAAATGAAGGAAGAAAATCCAATCCTCTAAAGTCTCTTGTAGAAAATAAGAGGCGGAAGAGATATTTCCTAACTCATCATGAAGCCCGAATACCAAAACTAGAAAAGGCAGTGGAAAAACTACAAAGTAAGATCTTCTATGCAAACACTCTCAGCAAAACGATAAAAAATAGTCGACAGTATTCCTCGACAAAGCAACAGCAAAATTAATCTAACAGTGAATTAAATCTAACAGCAGAGAATTAAATGTCATGATCTAGTGGAATTATATCAGGCATGCAAATCGGGCTCAACATTTGGAACATGGCCTCCCCTTACTAATCCTTTCCAGCATTGTTCTAGAGATCCTAAACGACAGAGACGGACAGACACAGCACACAGAGGGAGTGCACACCAAAAAGAGAAGGAACCAAATGCTGTCTTCCAGATGCAAATGGGTCTGTAGAAAACTTGAAAGACTAGAAACTGATGGAGAGAAAAAAGAAGTAGGGAGAGGATGAAGAAGGAGAAAGGAAAGAGGAAGGAGGATGGGGAGAGAGGAAAAGAGAGATGCAGAGACAACTCTCCTACAGACAATAATTGGTTATAATAAGGTTCCGGATACAGTGCTAATATAAAATAAGGTCAATCAATTCCCTATATACTAGCAATGAATAAATGGATTTTAAAACTAAAGCAATTGCCATTTAAATTAGCACTCCTAAATGAAATACTTATACAAAAATCAAGCAAAATACATAACATCCATATGAAGACCACTATAAAATTATGACTTGAAAAAACTAAAGGGTTAAATTTCTAGAGCTTCACTCCATGTTTATGGATTGCAAGCATTGGTAGTGTGAATGACAATGACACCTCTAGGCTCATGAGTGAACACTTGGTTCTCCCGTTGGCGGAACTGTTTGGGAAGGATTGGCCCTTGTTGAAGGTCTGCCACTGGGGGCAGGCTTTGAGGTTTGAAAAGACATTGCTTCCTGTTTGTAGATCAAACTGTGATCTATCAGGTGTTCCTGCCACTACGCCTCCGTGGACTCTAACCCTCTTCAACTGTGAGCCCAATTAAATGTGTTCTTTTATCAGTGGCTTTGGCCATGATGTCTTATCTCTTCAATGGAAAAGGAAACTGATATAAAAGCTCAATGTGGTCATAAGCCCAGCTTTTCTGAACTTGACTCATAAACTCGATAAAATCCCAACAAACTGATTCCTGAAAGGCAAAAGAGCCCAGAGCAGTCAACCTAATGCTTGAGAAGAACAAAGTCAGAGGACAGACACTAATTCTAAGACTTATTATAAAGTCTTAGTAACCAGGATTGTATGGAATTAACAAAAGAAGAAAGTGGACATTAGAACAGAACCTAGAGCCCAGAAAGGGGCCCGCAAAAAGCACAGTTATTCAATAGTTGACCAGGGAACATAGACAATATAAAAGGAGTGAAGATAGTTCTTTCAACAAATGGTAAAGATGACATGCACATGTAACAACAAAGCAAATAGGCAAACAAAACCCTCAACTCAGACACAGAGTTTACACTCTTTATAAGAGTGAGCTCAATATGGACAATAGGTCAAAATATAAGATGCAAAACTATGTTAGCTCCCAGAAAACAACCAGGAAGGGGCATCTGGATGACCTTGGGTATACTTATCTTTATAGATATGATGTCAAAGACCTGGCCTACCAAAGAAACTAGTGGTAAGCTAGACTTCATTAAAATCCAAGATCTCTGCAATGCAAAAGACACCATCAATGGAAGGAGAAGATAAGCCACAGGACTGAGGAAATCTATTTGCAAAGTATG